CTAAAAAGTTTTTAATTACTCAAACTAAAAAGTTTTTAATTAACTCAGTACAATAATGCCATCGTACGTACATAAGCCATTGGCTTAAGTACCGGTAATTTATTCCATCAACTTTTTATATTGTTTCTTTTGTTTTGACGAAAAATTGTCGCATAATTCATGATTCAAAAAAAAATCAAGCATGCAAGAACTGAATAATTTGTATTAAATACAAAAGAAAATTCACCCTGTAATAGTTTGCAGTGTTTCGGAATCAGCTAGCTGTAATCTTACTGATGAAGCAACCTAAAAAAACTGCTGCTAAAATAATGATAATTTAAATGATATTAATGATAATTAGCATAAGTTGGCAATTATAACCAACTTGTTGCTTGAAATCATTGCGCACTTGGATTCTTCTATTCAGTAGACTTTGTCTCGGACCATATCGTTGTGATGGCCGTCTCTCAAACGTGACCGACTGACGACGTGACAATCGTCCACCATCTTTATGTACATTTTCATACTCTGTCCGACCTCTGTTTCAAATTATAAGAAGTATTTTAAAAAATTACAGTATATTTCAATAGATATAAATTATAGCTACCTAATGTAAGTTAGTTTAAAAAGTATTGCAAGTAGTTCTAAACCAAAATGATGTTATGTTTAATTAATTAACCACAGGAACTAAATTAGTAATCTTATTTGTTGCATTAAAGCAAAGTAAATTAAAATAAAACTAATTAAATAATAACTGTTTACCTGTAGCGGAATGTGCTACCTAGACGGAATAATTGTGATGTTTTAGCATAACTTGGCTTATGATATTTAAGCCGAAAAAATGTATGATGTTCAATTGCACATTTCCATAAATGCTTGCAAGCTTTGTGAGATGACAAGTTGAATACAAAAGTGTGAAGCTGTACTTGTCCACTCTAGCAAATGAATGATATAACTTTGTGCTTAGTCATAAGTAAAAGTATAACTGACTTGATTAAAATACAAAATAAGTCAGTAATAGTATGAATTGATAACGAAAAAATATCATCATTTGAATAAATGATTAATTTTTATCAGCAAAAAAATTGGTTCTTTCAGAATGATTATCAATAGCATGTATTCCGAAAATAGTATCTCTGATTTGGAAAAAAGAAATGTGATGAATGAACGAACGGTTTGATCAACGTCTTCCTCTACAACAAGTGTAATTTTGCGATTTTTAAAGTCAAGTTTCTGAATTTTTTCCCACAGAAATAAACCAATCTTTTGATTACCATCGAATACTAACATGCCTGTTGGTGTTAAACCTAACCTGCAAAAAATCTCTTCAATCCTTCTCAAGCAATAATTTTATTTGTATTCTTACAATATTGTACAAAATGCGTGGAAAATTTTGTAGATGTACAAAAAAAAACTGCACGTTAATTGTTAACAACTTCATACCTATATAAATTGCCATCTTTTCCTTCGACAGTATGCATATCAACACCATACAGTTCAATCCATTTTGCTTTATTTAGATAATTAATTTCAGCTGCAGCTGGTGACTGACCTCTGAAGAAAACAATTTACTAACAAATCTGTCAGCTTCAAAGCTAATTATTGTTTTTCCATTTGCTTATCAGTCTGATAAACTGATAATAATATGGCAAAATACTTAAAAACTTATACCTGCAAGTAATAAATCTCTCTAAAATTGCAATTTCCATTTCTTCGTCTTGTTCAGGATGAAACCGAAATTCTGATATTAAAGCAGCAGTATGTTCTGCTTCATTGTAATCTCCAAGTTCTGCTAAAATACTAATGGTAATAATAGTAGCAAAAATAAGACTATGATTATAAAAATGATGATTTTTTGCAAATTTGTAATCTTAATTTCATGATAGACATATTAAACTAATTACTAAGCTTTGTTTCCTTTTCCATTTTAATTGCTTATTTGTTTACTTACTTACTTATTCACAGCATGCTAAAGTGACTAAATTAAAATTCAAAAATTTGCATGTACAAACATTGAAGTGCAAATGCAGCAAGTTCCACGGCTATATTCTTGGGACACTGTAACCTTCCTGACTGAATGTCATGCTTTAGCTGCAGGAAGAACTGATACCTTTAATGAAACTAAAATGTATTAAATGCTTTTTAAAAAGTAAAAATTAATACTTTTATTTATAGTTTTTTCCTTGCCAAAATTTCAGAATTTCCAATTAATTGAAAATAAATTCTACTTTTTAACTGCTTTAACTGATAACAGCTAGCACTTTCTGATTAATCATCTATTTATACATTTTAAATATAGCAAATAATTCAATACTCCGTTTTTACCGAGTCAATTCTTCACGTAAATTATTTGGCTCTGATGTATAAAATTTGACTCGAAATCGAAAAGTATATGGTGGTCCAATTGGAACTTGTTTAGTTATTCGCTTTATTGGATCTAACCAATGCTAAAAACCAGATCAATTCGCTTTATTAGATCTAATCAATGCTAAAAATCAGATCAAATTCGCTTTATTAGATCTAATCAACGCTAAAAATCAGATCAAATTTTATACCGATACTTTATTACAAAAAATATATAGTTATTAGAACAAAGAAATATTTTAAAATTTTCGCACTTAATTTTATCTTTTATTCGAAACTTTTCAGTAAAAAAAATTTTTTAAACTAATAAAATTTGTTTTTTCTTGCAATTTTCATTTGTTCATTATTTTAGCAAAAATTACCGAAGTAACCCATGCTAAAAGCTTAAAGCATTAATTCAGAGTTAAAAACAGTACAAAAGATGACCTGAACATGGAAGTGATCCATAAATTGTAAGCCAAAGTAATCTTTTTCTTCTAAATCTAATGCATAGAATACTTGATCATACAGTTCTTGACCGATAGCATTTTTCTGCAAATTTAAAAATTTGAGCAAATATAATATAAATTTGAAAAAAAAAGCAAGCAAAATAATATTTAAATTGCAGAACAAACCTTATTCAGAAGGGAAAAATTAGAAAAATAAACAAGCTAATTTTTTGTAAAATAAAAATTATTACTAAGCTTTTTAACCAATAAAAGGTTTATTAAAACGGTTGTTGAGTAATTTTAAAAAAAAATTATTTTAAGTAAGAATAAAACATACTGAAACTACAACGTTCAGGTCGGTATTATCAAGTAAGATTATTTTACAATAGCACTGCTTTTTTGGATCCATTTCAGGTTGATCGAATCCCTAAATTAGCATAAAATTACAACAACAAGTTAAAGGTCATCTTAAAAAAAATGGACAAAACTATAAACCAAACGTTAATTAAATTAAAAATGAATTAAAAGAAAATATATGAAAAAATATATCTGCCAATTAAACTACAATTTCTTCTATTACTTGTAAAAGACTAATGACGAGAAGGAAATAACGATAACAAGACGAAATTATGACTTTATACCACTAACTAAGAAAAATATTTACAACAAAAATAATATGACGTGTGTAAACATTTCTATACGTAAATACTCGAAGCAGATTACTTCGCAACTTGACTATTTCAAGCAAACTAATTTGTTCATACAGCTAAAATAGTTAAAGCCAAAAATTTGATTGAAATTTCACGCTTGACGTTTTAATAATGCTAGCAAGAATGTACCAAAATGCTAGCATGTAAAAAATAACTGCAAAATTGATAGTTATGAATTAAATAGTTACTTAAATGTGAGTAAAGTTGTCGTTCTCTAGTTAATTTTCAGATAAATCAGTCTTAATCGTTTAATTACTTCAAGTTCCAAATTAAACGATTAAAATAGTAGTCGTTGAGTTTACAAACTTTTCTTATGCAAAATTACAAAATAAACCAAAGACATTATAAATTTGGTCAAGCAATAATTTGTTATGCATTCATCTTAAAAAGTTTACAAATGCATAATTAATTTCAGATAATAATCAGTCTAATAATATTTTGTATAATCATAATAAAATTTATTTTGCTTATCAGTGACAATACAAAAGTCTTTTAGGCTTATTTTCCGAAGAAAGCAATTTATTTCATTAACTTTTAATGCAGTTAATAAATATAACTTGCCAACGAAATCGAAAAT